TCGCCACCGTGAAAAACCCAGACTTAAACAAAGGGGAGAATTCAGATTAATTCTCTTCTCTTTTGTAATCAGAAAATCCAAATTGTAATTGAGATTGAGAGTATACAAATCAAATATATTTCTTTTAAATTTTCTTTTTATTACAAATTTTCCACCAAACATGTACTAATAGATAGATTCGATTGCTCCACGTACCTGAGGGATGAGCTATCTATTGTGGGAAATATGCAATGTTTTAGTAGCATTAGCATGTGTTCTCGCAATGATGGGTTGGTTAGGCACCCTAGTTGACTCATGGTTTAGAAGAGGAGCTTTCAGAGTACTATTGACATTGATCTCAGGAGGGCCAACCATTTCCTTCAAGTTGATTGTCTCTCATGCAAATTGAGAATCCTGATAGAAGTTGGTGACTTTGCCAATAATCTGGCATTCTTATTCATCTAGGAGTGGTATGTCCACCTTTAGGCATCGACCATCATCTGCTCCTACATGCGCTCCATCGCACTTGCCTGACTCACGATTGTCTTCACTATCTCTTGAAGGTTGACCTCCTCTAACGAGTTAGACGATGGCTCAGAGCTCTCATTCGCATATTTGATCGTCGTCTCTTTGTGTTTTGTGCTCGTCGCCTTCTGAGGAGATGCTATATGGACTTCTAATAGTGATGAGTGTAGTGCAGCCAGATTGTTATCGAAGACAAAGGCCGAGTGTTCATTTCAGAGCACTTCTTCATACACAGGATTTGCTATACAAAGGGCTCGGGCCCATGACATTGATTTGCTTTTCTTTAAGAAAGTCTGATATGTAGATCCCTTGTAGTAGTCCAAAAACTCCTTTGGATTCTTACTCAAATTCCCATTTTCAGTTTGATTGGTCTCGAGCCTTAGGTCTATCATATAGACATGAACAAACTCAAGATCATCTTCATTACTAATTTTGGGGCATGTTCTAACGGTGCCTCCTTCTTTTGGGCTAAATCTTCATGAGACCCACATATAGTCGCTCAAAAATAAATGCCCTTGGGGATTGAGTCTTCCTCAATTAGGATGCATGAGATTTCAGTCAGACCTTTGGGCTGGGGGCATACCATGCAACATGGGAAATGCCTAATATTTACAACATGATACGAGCAGTGTTTTGGGCATAGCGGTGAATGAGTAATGGGAGACTGGATGCTGATTGCTGACCTCTACCCATTAGGGAGGGGAATGGGAGCACCTCGACCTCTAGTAGCTTCAGAGGTTGGTGACTGGTTCTAAGCTCTCTACACCTCTAGTAGCTTCAGAGGTTGGCGACTGGTTCTAAGCTCTACCCTTCTCGACAAGGGAGACCTCATAGTCCTTGGCTCTAGCCGTGCATGGATCTTGAGTCTAGATAGTGTACGGGTCACCTTAGCTATTTGACCCTTGACGAGCCCTCCTTGCACATCGTGAGATCACAACATGTCATTCTTCATCTTGCCGCCAGAAGAGGTCGCATATGACACCAAACATCTTTGCAACACCATGAATCTTTAGCAACATTGAGTTTGATGATCATTTGAGCAAAACTTGACTTAGCTTGATGTTCTGCAATGACTAATGATGTGTCCTCACCAAGTTGGCCGTCCATGAGACAATTTGAGTCAGTGGACACCAACTTTAATTTTGAATGTCGGACTGGGCATCTTGGGTTTTATCATACTCGAGGGTTGAGTTCTCTGACCTTCAGGTTGAGGTCCACTTAGCCCTTAACAGAAACTTGATTGTGTAGGTGTCAGTGGGGCTCTCAATGTAGCTCGGTGTAAGTGTTTTGTTAACACCGTAGAAGTGTTTCGTAGTCGCTTAGAGCATCCTTCGACGCTTCTTAAATATGCCTTGTGAGCAGTGTAGTTAGCCTCGACCGTGATGGCTTTGGCCATTATTCTAGGTGTTATATTATTGTCCTATGACATGACTTTCTCCTTGTTGAAGAAGCCACTCCCTACCAAAGTCACCACATGTTTTCGGTAAAAAAGATTCAACAAAGGTTGAGAAAATGAAACAACCATTCTCTTTTATTTATTTCTTTGGAGGAAAGTAACAAATAAATAATGATATAATGCTTTTTAGTTACACTGGAGATTCTGGTAAGCTATGCTGGTAGAGAATAAGTGTCGATTTAGCACTGTCTTTTGAGTTGGTTTAGCGAGATTATACTTGTCCACTGTAAAGATTCTTGGAGATGAAGGATGGATTTTTTGTTGAGGGCTCGCTCCCACTAACAGGCAAAAAGAGTGCTGGATATGACTAAAGATCAATCACTAGGTGACCGAAGATGAACGGATCTTACAAAGTAGACTACCATGTGTGATTTGAGCTTTGCATGGTCTGGGACTGAGGGTATTCTCTCATTTCTTATATTTTAGTTTCTGTGTAACTATATCATTTTCTCCCTATTCCTCTATCCCTCTCCTCTTTTTTTAGTGTAAGGATGTATTTATGATATTCATACTGCACTGCGTTAGGCTAGCTTGGAATTAGGCATGTGCTTATGTGTTAACCCTCATGCTATCTGTAGCCATCCTTTCACATCTGTCACTTCATCGGACTTTCATTAAATGCATTACGGGCACAAGATCTGGCAGATCTAGTTTGTCATGATGATCTCCACTGTCAGTGCGATGTGGCCTCCCCTCTCTCATAGTTCATGAGTAATTTCCATCATCATTATTTTTGTCCCATCATCACATTGTATTGCGACCACCGACCCAGTGTGAGCAATTTAAATGATATACTTAGTTCGGTCGCCGGTTTACCGAAGTCAATGCATTGAGTGGGCGCTGCTTGCTATCAGACAATCAAGAGAGAGGTCCAATTGTGTAGCGATGTCTTGTCATATGTATGGTTTGCAGGGCCTAGACCTATAGAGTAGATTCATACCTATCTCTGCTTGATCAGCTGGTCGAGTTACGTGTAGTTGGTAGTGGGTCAATCAGAATTGCTCGAGTCACACGAGTCGGTTTTGTTGGGAGTTCTACGTCTAGATTGAGAAGGCGTCCTTGGGTTGGTCTTTGCATCTTGGCCTCTCCATTTTTTCAACCGCCCCTCTTCTTGTGGAAGCCTCTCCATATTTTCAACTTTCCCTCTTCTTCTGGAACAATTAGGTGTCTCTTAAGGTTTATTAATGGGTAGCATCCATCTACTGAAATGATCTATACTTTCTGACTGTGTATAGTCATTCTATACTAATATACAATTTTACTTAATAAAATTTTTCTATTTCCTATAGTGGTTATTGTTAGCTAGCAATTAATTACATATAAATTTTTAAATATTAAACAATGCTTCACAACTATTAAAAACAATTTACAAAAAAAAGTAAAAAAAAGATAAGTCGAGTGGGTCTGCCCATGATATGGCTCCCCCCCCCCCCCCNTATGGCTCGTCCCGCATGTTCATGGGCCTGTGAATGGGTTAGGTTGAGGTCTAGGCTCAGGAACAAGGGGCCAAACATGACCCACTTGTCCTGTTGCGGGCGGTGGATTGCCTCATCTTGCTATTGAACTCACACGAGTTGGCTTACGGGACATGTCATCTTGTTCCGTTGCACACCCCTAGGCATAGGGTCAATGCATTTGGCTATTTGTGAATTTAATATAGGTTCATTAAAGAGATCCAGTCTGATTAATATTCTTTAGGTATTTGGTACAACTGCTATATCTTTTATTTATAATATTGCTAAAAAGCCAATTTGATCCATGTATTGCATCCTCATACTTAAATTTGTATGCATTTTATGGAGAGTTTTTGGGTATTACTCCCATTATTCTTCAAACTTTTCACATTCTCTAAATCATAATTCTACCCAACCCTACCAAAAGCTCCAATAATCAACCCCCTCTTCCTTCTCAATCTCCTCCCTAATCAAAGTGGGTTGAGCTTTAATTGAAGGATTAGCCTCAAGGGGTATTAAAATCTTTGACCCACTAACAAATTGAGGGGAGAAGAAAGAAAGGTGAAATGAGTTGGGGTTGTTATAAAGGGAATGAGTATTGGGGGAGTTATTAATGGGTTTGCGTTTGTTAAGCGATGGTAAAAAAATATCAAGTTGTGGAGAGGGGTTAAACATAACAAAATATTCCCTCATTTATAACCCCATCTAAACATAAGAACATGTATCAACACAATTTAAAGATTTAAGGGATTAATATCAAATTACTAAAATTTAAGGGACTAATATCGAAAAACCCCAATGCTTAAGGCTCTCTTTGACAACTTTGAAAAATAGCCTAGCTCACTTTTGAACAAACTCCACTTGACGTAAGTTAGTTTAAACTATACTTTTAGGGCCTGTTTGGATTTGTAGGGGGTGAAGGGAAGTTAAAAGGGAAACTGAGTGAAGGGAAGAGAAGGGAAGGGAAGGGAGTTCCCTTCCCCTTGGTTACACCCCAATTTGGAGGGTAACAATTTTTATACTAGAAGGGAAGGGAGTTCCCTTCCCCTTGGTTACACCCCAATTTGGAGGGTAACAATTTTTATACTATTAGGGGGTGAACCAAGGGGGTAACAATTTTTATACTATTAGGGGGTGAACCAAGGGGAACTAGGGTGAATTAACTTCACCTCCTAAATATTCCCAAACAAGATGAATGGAGGTGAATGGTTCCCCTAACTTCCCTTCACCCTCATTCCCCTCAGTCCAAACAAGCCCTTATTGAAGTAGCTCTAGTTTACACTTAGTCGGGCTAATTTTTATACTGGAACATATTTGGGTCATTCTAGCCTAGTTCTCCTTTGGATCAGAAGTGAGTTGGTTTATTTCTAGCAGAGAGACCGAAACATATTTGGGTCATTCTAAGCCTAGTTCTTTTTTCAACCAGAACCAGAAGAGAATCTCGGGCTACTGAGCGAAGTTGAGTCTCAAAAGAACTGATTTGCTCTACATCTTTTTTAATTTACCGAAGCTAGGGCTGAGCAAGTGGACAGCTTTGCCAACCTTTGGCCCATTGGGCCGAGCAGGGCTAAATAAATCCGGATTTTACCTCACCTGGTTCACCGAAATAACGAGATAGGAAAAAGTCGCCAGAAGCCGCAAAATATCTCGAGAAATCAAGCGATCAACAGAGCCCGAGGGCAGCAGCGATGATGATGACGAGGTTGAGGAGCCAAGCGCTGCTGATGGGTTCCTCCTCCTACCCGCTCGCCTCTGCGCTCCGTCGCGTTTCTTCTCTCCCTCAGCGTTCTACGATAACACCACCCTTGGTTTCTCGCCGAAGCTTGAGGGTAGCTTCGTCTCCGTCGAGGTCGAAGCTGGAACCTCGAGGGGCTTCGACTGGAGGACCTCGGTCGAGATTCTGCGCCGTGCGCGCTTCTCATCAGGCGTCTGATGCGGGGCCCATCGACTCCAACATGATGCAGTCCATGGAGACCAAGGTCCTGCTCTATCTCTTTCCTATCTCATTATTTATCGCTATTTATTTTTAACTCGTTAGTTTATCACTGCATTGAATGATAATTCCATAGTTACAGTGGGTTTAGTGCATAAGAGACATAAATTAGTCCCAAAGGGAAATTGTATTCGCACCCTCTTATTTGCCTCTTCAAATAGGCAACCATGAGTAGCATTCGAGGAGGAGGGGGGAGGATAATATCCTATGGTTCTTTGATGCTTATGAGTAAGATTGCATTTTGACATTCTTTTTTATTCGTGTGCGAGCAGATTAAGGAGCAACTAAATGCTGAAACGGTGATTGTTAAGGATGCTTACGGAGATGGTCGACATGTCAGGTTAGGTTCTTCATCTTCTGTTTTGACCTTTCAGCGCATGCTTTCCTTTCAAGTGATTTCTTTTTGATGTTGCTGCTTTCTTATTGGTGATCACAGTGATCTCTGCAGTGTGTTTTCACTTGTCAGATCGTTTGATCTGTGTTCTGCATTTTTTATCTCAACTTTTGTTTGATATGTGTATATATTAACTTGCATGCAGAAAGATGTCATCTGTTGAGGACGATTTTCTTTGTAGTGTTCTTAAATTTATGGGTGGGTGCTGATTGAAAACGTGGTCTAACTGTACTCACCCATGTATGACATGCACGGTTCTGGGGCCTTTGTATTCATGAACCTTAAGTTCTAGATGCACAGTTCCGGAGCATACTAACTTATTCGTTCGTTTTCCATCATCTTTGTTTATTTGGTGAAGAGTTCTGTAAGCAAAAATATTGGTGGATTAAGGTCTCTAACAAGTTTGTACCAGACATGCCACTCCATTAAAACAATCTCGGCTTCTTAAATGGTGGCACTATTTGATGTTGCAATTTTAATGTACACAAGTTCCACACGGTTCCTTCTTCATATCATTAGTTGATATTTCTCAGCCACTAGAAGATATTGTGATTTGATGCCAATTATTCCACTTCGCTTATGATTATCACAGTTATTTCAGAAAGTTGTAAGATGGCTCATTTCTGCAGCTTTGGTTTTCTCAAAATGAGGTTGTAAGATATGCCTAGTTATCACCTTTTGAGCTAGGCAGACATGTTTCACTTTTGGATACAATCCTAATGTCACATTAGGCCCAAGTGTCTGCTTTTAGTTTGGTATCGTTCAGAAAATTCCATTGCACTTGAAAATATATTTTTCACCACTGAGTTGCTCTTATGTCTTAAGACACTGATTCATTCTTCTACATACATTTTCTACCATGTAAACTACTATGTAGGCCTGTGTACTTTGTTTTCAGCTTCATCTTCTGCGGTTTCTACTTTTGATTATTAGTTTCTCACATCCCAATTTAAGTTTCTAGTGCTTCAATTTGTTGATGTCAAGTTTGATTTTTTATTTTAGAGCATATAAAAATTGGATATTTGTCTTGATTTTTTGGTTGAATCAAACAATGACTCCATAAGGCAGACTAAATGCTCTTAAAGAATGGGTAATATAAGCTTGGTGTTTGATGGTCTGTGTTAAATATGCTTGTTCGCAATGCACCATATATCACTCACAGGCTGCGTAGCATGCATGTGGTTGACTGTTGACATTCATACAGCAAATATTTAGAGCACTGAAGAAAGTGTATGTTTAATGTAGAATCATCAATATGAATAGAATGTAAAACAATTCTATTTTTCCTGGATTGTTTGTATGTTACTAGGGATCTGCAAGGATTTTTAACATCAAGAGTATGGCTCCTTTTTCCTTTTCTTTCTTTTCCTTTTTTCCTTTTATTTTTTCTGTTTTTTTTTCTTTTCTAATTTTTGGTGTTTGGGTGGGGAAGGGAAGAGGCAATACTGACTCTTATTCTTTGGAAAAATGGTTGGAGAGGCAAAATTCGATAAGGTGTTTCTTCTTTTGTTCCTGCCCTTGGGTATCTAGAGTACCTTTGAACGATAGATCACCAGTTGATTTTACCCTTTTGAATCTTCTCAGTGGGTTAAAAAATTGGTTGAAGCCTAAAAAATTGAAGTCATTTGAAGTTCTGGATATACTGTGAAAGTCAGTTTGATAAATGGAATAAGGAAATCAAATTAAGTTGTTTGGGCACTGAGTCATCCCATTTTCGTGTGGGAAGCATCAGAGACACTATGCTTGTCTGATTTACCAAGTTATCCCATTTTCTTGTGGGAAGCAGTGTCCAAAAATCTGCTCTACCTGGCCAAGTACTCGCCCAAGTGCTCGTACCCGACACCAAAACATGTTGGAAAGCTCAAACTTGCTTGATTACATGGTCAAACTGTATAAACAAGCAATCAAAGAGTATGCATCCCTCAACCGCATAATAAATTATGCGAGTGTATTATATACCCGACCCTACCCGCACTTTGTTACCCTAAATTCTAGAGCATTGTTCTAGATGTTTCAAAGTTAGTGACGGATTTCAACACTTCCCCTCATCGCCAACTTTATTAAGCAGTGCTCTCGTTCCGAGTTGTCAAAATTCTCCACACTTGGAAGGATTTAGGCTCTTTGTGAAAATGTTTGCTACTTGGTATTCGGCCTTTATACGTTACATCACTATTTCTCCTTGCTGTACTTTTTCTCTTATGTAGTGATGATGAATCTCTATGTGCTCTGTTCTTGCATAGAACACTGAATTTTCTGCCAGTCGAATAGCTGGTTGATTGTCGTAGTGGAGAGGTACTGGATAATGAACTACCTGATGCAGATTACTCAGTAGTTGTAATAACCATGTACTCTCTTTGACTGCCATTGCTTCTGCTCTATACTCTGTCTTAGTAGTCGAAAGTGACACCATAGATTTCCTTTTACTACACCAGGATACTGCTCTTGTTCTAAGATTTGAATACATACCTCGATGTTGATTGGCGAGTGTCATTATATCTAGCAAAGTCCGCATCACAATGTCCAATGACTTTAAATTCTTCTCCTTTCTAGTATAGTAGGCCAAACTCAATATTTGTCGAACTACTCCTAGATGAGATATCAAGCCTTGGAATAGTTAGAGACTACCAACAAATTGTCGGTACATAGTTGAATCTTCTAACTCTTTGCCTTTTTCTGCGCATAGTCTTCTATTTACCTCCATAGTTTGGAAGAAATTCAATGATGGATGCACCTTGGACAAGTCAGCATTGGTTATACGTCCAACACAGAACTGCACCTTCTACCTCACATGTACGTGCAACTTAGAGTCAAAGTTACATTATAACTGTCACTCTTAGACACTAAGTATCTTTCAAGTTTGAAGACCTTGCAATACACTTTAGGACTCTGGAAGTTTGTTGTCATCACAAATGTGAATGTTGGATTAGCAGTTCTGTGCTCATAAAATAGTTTGTAGTTATGAAGAAGACACATTATGTTAGTTTGAAATCTTTGAATAATAAAAAATATTCTTCAAGGTTTTACTTTGGCGTGTGATCCTTTCTTCTCATGATGCCTTCACTAGGCATTTGGTAGTTTTTGAAGGTTGATGTAGTGGATCTTCGTTGGTCATCTCCCTGTTTCAGTATATCTAGAGTTTCATGGCCCAAACTCGAATGTTCCAAAAACAAGTCTTGGTCCTTGTGCACTTACATGGTTCCCTTTTATTTGTTGCTCGTCTTAATGCTTCCTCGTCGCCCTCTCCAAGTCATATTAGTATTTCAAATTTCCAACTTCACTTTCATACATTTTGCCTTTTGTTTACATCTGCTAATTCTGAGATTCTTGTATTTCTGTTAGAGTTTAGTCTGATGAAAGTAACATATGTCGCAGACTTGATGGTAAGTAGGAATGGACTTGAAAATTGAACTATGAAAGACTACTTTCAATCGTGAGTTTCTCTAGCTCTTGGTATGTGGAGGCATGAATCTGCATTGCTAGTGATATTATCAATGTTTTTCATGTTAAGTGGGCTAAATAGATTGGTGCTCGTGTAGTAGTGCAAATGTTTCCTAATGTCTCAGACCTTGATTTTCACTAGGTGATATTAGGGGCGGCATAAAAATGTTTGGGAGGGTCATTGAGTTCCCCTTGTTCTGTACCCCCTGTTGTTAGTGTCAACGTTACTGAGCAGATGTTTTCATTGAGTATGGCTGATAGTTGCATATAGGCTTTTTTTGTACATGAAATACTTGTTATTTTGCTTCTTACTATCAAGCTGTGGAGTTGCGCTCGTCCTTGTATAGAAGACATTATTGGTTAATTTCTGTACGCATGTGTGATTGCCTTCTCTGATGTGGGGCTTCCATTCACCTTCTTAGAGAAACTATCTTCATCTTGGTAGTTTTTCTCCTCATGATGGAATTTTATGGATAAGATAGAACAGATAAGTATTTCTATGCTCATTGTTTAAGAAACTATTCTTTTAAGCTCACATGACTCTAAATGTATGAATTAGTCTATATTTCCATTTCCTATTATTTTTGAACCCGACGCCCATAGTGGCCTATATATTTGTTGTAGAATTTGTAAGTTTTCATAAGTACAAAGTTATCCTTATGGGTCCAATGATACATTGTTTTCCTTTTGCTGTGGCCTTCTCACTTTACTTTGGATCGCTCGCAATTGACCTATTGGATCAGAGGCAGTGATGGGGGCAATGGAGGGAGAGAGTAAAAGCAAGTGAGAGAGGAAGAGGAGTAAGAGATGGAGGGCGGGAGTCATTACATTGTTTTTTTTTTTTTTGCTATTTGTTTCAAATTACAACTACTCAATTTAAAAGTGAATCAGTTTCTTAGAGTGGGCTGTTTTCGGGTCAAAAAGTTTACAATTCATAAATATGCAAAATATTACAATTGTTCACTTCTTTCATCACAAACAAAAATTACAAGTTTGATTCTGTGGAGGTGTGGCGAAAGAGACCATATCATAGCTTCGTTGATCACACGAACAAAGTTGCTTGATTTTATTGTTGATGCTGAATTTGGTATGAGGTGAGGTCTATAATGAAGAACTCAAACTCGTCATAAAGGGTTGCCTTTGATTGCCGAGCTAAACATTGATGAAGTATAGTTTGTCTTGGGGGGATCACCTCCGAAAGATAAATGTCATCCTAAACGGTGAAGAATACTAAGTTTTGATTATCAAGGCAGTCAAATAAACAAACTATTGCCAATAAAGACGAAGAACTTCTGGTTTGCAAGGGTTGAACTCCATATCGTGGAGCTATTGGGGAAGAACAATAGCAAATGGTAGTCAAGAGAGGGAGCCAATAACTAGCTCATTGAAGAGCCATAAAAACGTTGGAAATAGGGCAGTATTTATAGGCTGAAAACTGCCTATGATGTGGAGCTAATTCGTGTTGTGGAGCTAACATTGCTATATTGGAATTAAATGTTGCGTAGTAT